CATATTTTATTAACAAAATCAAAACATAATTTTGTTAAAATGAATGAGAATTCATCGTTATTTTATAAGTATCATGAAATCAAAAACAAAGACATCATTGACCTAATTATAAAAATAAAAAAGTTAGGATTCGTATTATTATGGAGAAGATATTACAAAATGTTAAAATCACTTTATTATTTTATTTATTCTCAATATATGTATTTAAATCAAGAGATTTATTATATTTTTACTTCGCAATAATATAAATTCAAATGTGAATCTTAACATTTATGTTTATTTTATAGCTCTAATATTGATCTTATTGTAGCGATAAGAGAATTAAGAGTTTTATTTAGAACAATCAAAATGTATCTTGTTTAAAAAAAGAAGAAATAGTTTATTAACTCATCTTCTTTATAGCATTTCCTATAATTTGGAAAGAATCCAAGTCAAAAAAGCAGAAAATGAAAGTTTAATTAAATAAATAAAAATAGATTTAAGTGTCATTTTAATATCCTCAATAGCTGATGAAAATTTTTTTGATTTTCTTTATAAATCAATTTTATTTTCTGAATATTTTGTTTAAATATGTAAATAAAATATTACTATCATTATGATTTCTATCTATATTCTTTTCACCCTTATTGTATAATAAGTATTATGAATTTTATGAATTTATATTTCTGTCATCACTTTCAATCTGAATATACGAAATGAATTCTTAGGTTTATTTACTTGTTTTTTGTTTTTGTTCTTTAAAGGGTTATTAATTCTAATCTTATTAATTTATTTGATGCTCTATTAAAGACTTAGAACCTTAAGAATTTGCTTAATTTAGATTAATTTATGATTCCAATATTTATAATTTATTAAAATTTTTTTGAAAAATTTAGCTCACACAATTTAAATTTAAATAGATTATTAATAAATTTATTCTGGCTAATGAAAGTTTTTATGCTTTTTTCAAGGCAATCATATCAAACATAGAAATTCTTTATCATTGAAAATTAAACATTTCTTTTTCAATATTTTAACACTAAAGTAGCTTGTAGTACCATTGAATCAGAAATTTAATTAATTTATTTCTTTTAGAATGATTCTTTAATCTAATTCCTTTTTTAATAATCAGGAATTTGTTAATGAACAATAAAGATCTATTTTATAGCTTTTCCAATTTAGATTTATTCCAAAATTAAATTTAGATTATTACATAGTGATTAGAGATTTTTTAATTTTTATTTGCTTATTTTAGACTTTAAATGAAATGAATAAAATCATAAGAATAAAATTTTCATTCTAGTAATTAATTTTGAAGCATTATTCAAACCATTAAGTTATGCATCTAGAATAGATTGTGCTCCTATTGCTGGAGTTAGTTGTAATCCAAAAAGTCAGACTGCCTTAAAATATTGTACCGATTTGACATGCACTTAAATTGCAACTCTAGATTTACATTCGAATGATCAATTTGTTCTTTAAAAAGTTATTACAACTGGTGGTATGAATTTCTTTCTAATTGATTCTGAAGTTTGATACACTGCCAATAATTTGATAGAAAAAAAGCCACAATAATATCAGTCAGTAATAAATAAAAAAATTAAGTTATCATTTAGTTAAAGGCTGAAATTTTATTGAGAGCAGTCAATATTAAAGAGATCTCTACTTTATCGATAAACTAAGCAGGAGATATAAGAATTTTGTTTTAAACACCTTACTATCCTGTAAACGGGTGAACAGATGAAATTGAATTCATTAGGGCTGAAGTATCTGAAGCATGTCCTACATGGGAAGAAGAAAAAACTGCTAATGGATATTCTAGTAAAACAATCAAATTAGATAAATTTTTTTTAATGACTTTGTTACTAGCATTATTAATTTGATCTATTAATTTATGTTGAATCAATTAAATTAAATTAATATAAATCGCTTTTCTAATTCGGGTTTATTGTCAATTTTTGTTGAAAATTAAGTTAGAAAATGCAGTTATTCTTTAAGCTGAATGGCCTAAACAAATTCTAATTCAACAAGTTTCAATATCTAAATAATACCATATATTGGAACTAAATTAATTAATTAACATTTCAAATAATAAAAGTTATATATATATAACTTTCAGAAAATTGATTATACTAAATCTTTATTAGGATTAAGTTTAAAATGCCAATAGAATAAAGTGATTTAATGTTTACATGATCATTACAGATTTATAATAGAACAATCATAATAGAAGTCGAGATTGATTGCTATCTAAAAGATAAAGGTTGAAAAATATGGTTGCCGAACATACTTTATAAATGATAATGTTCTTCAAATTCTTGCGAGATCAGAAAGAATAAATATATGTTAATGAAGTTAATAACAATAAAACTAAATAGTTTATAAAGACAAAACATATGGATATTAAGGTAGGAAATAATGAATGTAAATAAGAATGCTAAATAGGTGAATTTGATAAGGATAAAGGAAAATAGAAACTTTGAGATACAATATTTTTTTGAATTTGGAACTGAAAAATTATGTCGAAAGATGAGTGATGATGGGTAATATTTAATAAGCTATGAAGATAGAGCAAATGATTATCAGATTAGAAAAAATCATAAGTATGAATAATCTACAAATATAATTGTCTATGTTTCATATTACTTTATTGAATTTCATTTGAGGAATATATTTAGTGTTGTCAAGATAAAACATACATTTTTTTTATTAATTTATAATTTAATAATTGCTCTTGAATTATTAACAAAGTATAGAAATTTCTTTGTGTTCCAGATTTATCAATTTATACAATTCAAAATTTATTATTAAAAACTATTTTCTATTTAAAATTTATTTAATATTAATCTTTTTGATATTTTTATCAAATAATTGATAACCTATTTTATTTGTTAGAATAAAAAATCGACCATAAGAACTTAAAATATCAATTTAGAAGTCTGAGTTGTAAAAAAACAAAAAAATTAAAATATAAAATATAAACCTTATAAGTTTCACTAGTTATTAGATTACAAAAGTAGATCTATATTTTTCCAATTGTGAGAGCCTAATTTCACTATGGGTTTATTTCAGAGTTTTCAGGAATTTCTTAATTAAATTTCAAAATATCATTTTTTTACACTATCTCTATATCATTTCAAATAATATACAAAATATAGCTCAAAATATATTTTTTTAATTTTCCACTTCATACCAAAGCATTCACAAGGTTCAATAAACCTTGCTTGTAATGATTCAAAAATCATCAATTATCCTTTTATCCATTGATTGTTTCAAGTCCAATTACATTTGATTCTAAATCCACTGTAATATTAACTTCTCAATTCAATAATTTTTGAGCATCTTCTTTCAATTCATTATTATGGTGTTTTAATCACCTATCATTAAGATCCATATATTAAATCCTGTAATTTTTCCAAAATCGGTTATGGTGGTTTACATCCTCTCCCCAAGATTCATAAATCGGAAGTTTCAATAAAATCCTGCTTTAAAGTATGAGATATTAAATAAAATTAAAATTAATTTGATTTATAATTATGCATTTATTTTATTTTTAATAAAGGCAAATTAGAGCCTTAAATACTTAGAATATCTCTTATTTATAGAAAAAAAAATAACATTTTTTATAAACCTTACTTTGATTTATTTTATTTTTTATTGTTCTGAAATATCAAATATGTGATATCATCACTTAAAATAAAAAAAAATTAAGGAAGACAATAAGATATTTTATTGGTGATACAATATTTAAGTTATAGTGATCTGATTAATCTAATGAGCTTTTATCTTTTATTAATAAGAATTGTGATAAGTTTTGATTTATATCTTTAATGAAATAGTAAAAAACATTATCGTAAGAAAGGTTATAATAATAATATTATATCTCAACATATCATCAAAAGGCAGTTAGAATGAATCCTTAATTTATTATAACACTTAACTAAAGGGTTCTTTTTTTCGACTTTAAAAAGTTTATTTAAGCACATATTAATGGATAACAAACCATGGTCTAGAAATTATAAACCTTTAAATTTAACCATTGATCTTTCCGAAACTGAAAATAGGTATCTGATAACAATTTAAATTCTCCGAGCTTGAGATTTTGCATTTTTCAACATGAAGTAATTACTAAGGCTTAATAAGGATAATTATTTGATATGAAATAGTTTATGCTAGATGGCCCAACATAACTTAACAGGTTATAATTTCAAAAAATGATTTTTCGAAAGAGAAAGGTAGTCTTGACTATTAAATAATTCAACTCAAAACTAATGCATAATATATTTGGCTATAAATGTGCTCTCTGTAACTGTAATATTGTAGAGACATGAAAAAGTATGAGTGTAATTTTTAAGGAAGCCTGATTGTAGTAAGATTTTAGAACTTGGCAGAGAATAAGATGACACCTGTGGATATGAGAGATGAAAATTTATTAAGGAGAGTTGCTTAAACCGTACATTAAAAAAATGATGAGCTTTTCTGTGATAAACTCTTAGAAAGAGATATTGTTGTACATATAAAATATACTATAATACAAATATTTATAAAATTAGATGATAGAATTAGAATGGGATTACGAGAGATAAAGGGAAATTGAATGATATATAATTACATTAATTAATTTAAATAAAACACATGAATATCTTAAATCAAAAACAAATACAGGAAGCATCCGAAACAATATGTAAAACTCATAATCAAGAATTGATTGCAGTTGATCTAGACTTATCAGATAAGGCACAAATTTAATTCTTTTGTGGTAAATGTTTAGTTGAGAAAATTAATAACCATAAAGTGAC